CACCCCTCCTAAAAAGGAGTTTTGTCCCCAAAACTCAAATTGAGGACCATATCAAGTGGTGAGTGGCTTCACACAATCCAAGACAAAACAAATGCCTCACTCACTCTTTATGAACAGAAAATGGCCTACTACGCTTCCGCTGCGCCACTCTGATATCAAACCACAACTAATCATACAAGCAGAACATTGATCACTTAACAAGATTTACCATGAAATGAGCTACTAGAGGTTGGGGTGATATGGGAAGCACAACGAATAAAAATAAATCCTGCCAAAGCCACAAAAGAACAATTGTGGGGTTACGCTTTGAACCCATCACAAGACGAGTTGGCAAAGAATGGCATGGATTTAAAGATGAGTATAACAAAACTTTGAACTCTATGAAAGACGGATAAGCATCCAATGGATATATGGATCATGAATGAATGAACAAGTGCATGGATGCCTTATACACTCTACCATAAAACAAGGTTAACCAATAAGCAAGGTCATGTTCAACAAAACAACTAGAATCAAGAGACAGATTTTAGCAATTAACAAGAGTTAAAAGCTAGACCCATCAAATGACATATAAGAATTTCAAGAATTGCAACAGAATAAAATCAATAGAAAATATGAATGCTTGAAAGAATATCGGAACACAAGAGTGCAAGGTAGAATGCCTCAAAAATTCAACAACCAAACGGCATTCACCAAGAATCAAGATCAAATTTAACCAAGCAATCAAAATTGAGAAACAAGAGTTAACCATGAAACAAGCTATAGAATTCCAAAAATTAGGCCCACAAAAGAAATTTCAATAATGACAATGAGAACAAGAATTCAAGAGTAGATATAATCAGGAGATCAAGATCTAGCACCTCAAGTACTAGAATTAATTAATAGAACAAAGCAATGGCTGAGATCAAGATGCTTAGAAGATTCATGTCTTCCAATTAAAAGGGCAAACAAAAATCCAAGCAGTCAGATCAAAGAACCATTTCACTTGGAACAAAACTCTAGGGCATCAAGTATTTCAAGGACTACCCCTTTACCTCGTAGCTCATGGAGACTACAATCTGCTTAGCCTAGATATCCCAGAGTCAAATCAAAGCTAAAAGAATACAGAATTTAACACTTGCAAGAGACAAGAATTTAGAATACCTCATATAGGTATCCTCCAATAATCATCACCCCTCCTAAAGAGGTGTCCATATGAACAAAATCAAAAATCAAAAAGATCATTAGGTATACTGACACAAGAACTAGCAGAATATGCAAGATTTGAGCAAGAGCAGTATACAGAATTTGAGCAAGAACCAGAGTCAGAACAAGAATGCTTTCAAGGACAATTCAAAATAAATTCCAAGAACAGTGCAAGAATTAATTTCAAACAAGTATCAAGATAATGAGGATTCCAATCATCATTATCCATTTCCTTTGGATTTCAGTTTCAAGAACAAGTACAAAGCAATCTCAAGAAAGATTCAAGACGGGTTTCAAGAGTTGCAAGTAGTTTCCAGGTGTCAAGAATGTAGAGATTGGCAACAATAGAGAGTTTAACTTATGACAGCTTGCCAATCTTCACAAAACATGGCAATTTCAATTGAATGATCACTGCTCTTGATTAACCAATACAGAAAAATGAGCCACATGAAAAGACCATGAAGCTTCAAATGGAAAAAGTGAAACTTCACTACAAGACTTTCAGAAGATAAGGAGCAACGGAATTACCAAGTTATCCAGCTCCTAAAACGCAGCTAGAAAACACACAACATTTGCTAAAATAGCCTGGAATCTCTTACAAAGTAGAGGGTTGCCCATTCCTCCACTAGTCATGTGACAAACAGAGCAAATCTCTCAACCAGCTATGCTGTAGAGACCAACAGGATCAATAACAAAAGATTTTTGCAACTCCCCAGATTTAACAATTGTGGCAAACCAGCATACAAAAATTCCATTCACGTAACAAGTCTAAACAAGTGCAGACTATCAGAAAATGACCAAGTTTCAAAACAAGGTCTTCAGGACATAACGGGCAAGATTACTTTCACAACTTCACACAGAGTATGAAGGCAAGAAACAAGAACAATCAGATATCCATCTCATCAGAATGGA